CTGAATAATCATAGAATCATAGAATCATAGAATCATAGAATCATAGAATCATAGAACAGCCCGGGTTGGAAAGGACCTTGAAAGGTTATCTGGTCCAAACTTTCATGGAAAGGGAGCCTAGATGGGGTTATCTAGCACATTGTCCAATCGCATCTTGAAAACCTCCAGTGATGGAGACTCTACCACATCCCTGGGGAGGTTGCTCCAGTGAATGATTGTTCTCACTGTATAAAAAATTATTTCTTATAGCAAGATGAGACCTCTCCCAGTGCAAATTGTACCCATTGCAACTTGTCTTCTTCATGTGGCTTCTTGTGAAGAGAGAGCCTCCGTCCTCTTTGCAGCCTCCCTTTAAGTACTGGAATACTGTGGTGAGGTCCCCTGAGCCTTCTCTTCTCCAGGCAGAAAAGACCTAACTCCTTCAGTCTTTCCTCACAGGGCAAGTTCTCCAGCCCTTTGATCATCTTTGTGGCCCTCCTTTGGACCCTCTCCAGTCTGTCCGCATCTTTCTTGAACTGTGGGTACCAGAATGGGACACTGTACTCCAGGTGCAGCTTGACAAGCACTGAGTAGAGTGGAATGATCATATCTCTATGTCTGCTAGCAATTCCTCTGTGGATGCAGCCCGGGATCTGATTTGCCATTGTAGATTCAGCAGCGCGCTGCTGACTCATGTTCAGCTTGCTGTCCACCAGGACCCCCAGGTTCCTTTCAACAAGGCTGCTGCCTAGCCTGTACAGGGCTCTTTGGTTAGAGGTGCAGGACTTTGCAGTTGTCTTTTTTAAACTTCATACTCTTCTTGCTAGCCCACTCTTCCAGCCTGTCTAGGTCTCTCTGTAAGATGGCTCTCCCTTCTGGTGTGTCCACCTCACTGCCCAGTTTAATGTCATCAGCAAACTTGGTGAGGGTGTTTTCAATCCCATCATACAGATCATTTATGAAGATGTTGAACAGCATGGGGCCCAGTATCAATCCTTGGGGGACAAATAAGCTAACCTGAATATTAAATTGTTGCCAGTGTCAGTGACGCAACTTAGTGATAAAGTGACTGAGAAAAACAGAAATTAGTAGATATTTGTTTGGCTCTGTGCAGCCAGATACTGAGCACAAGTAACTTAACAACCTGTTTGTCTTCTTTTATCCTGCCTCGTAGGAGAGATGTTATGATGGGGCTATAGTTGGAGACATGGGAATGTGGGGAGGGAAATGAAGAAAGGAAATAGTCATCAGAAAAACTGTCTGCCAGTATCTATACTTGCAGAAGTGTTTTTCCCCCTTGTTAGAGGGGAGAATATGACTCTCACTTTCAAAAAAAACCCAGAAGATTGCAACTTGCTATATGGGTCTTTAATCTCAGCTGATATTTGCAGTTAAGCATAAAACTATGAGGATTCCAGATGTCAGGGTATTACAGCATGATAGCAGGTTGGCATCCTAGACAATATTGGATTCTTCAGGTTAGGTGCCTTTGAGTGTTCACATTCATGCAAGCAGGGATCCAGCCCCCACTGATCTTGTGCAAATCCAAAAGTGTGTCCTTTTTATTCTTATTCTTCCCCTTTAGCACGGCTTCAA